CAACTACACGTCATGATTGCCTAGATACAAATGAAGTGCCTGCAAGAACCTTTTGATATAGTTAACGTACAATACGATCCCTTAGATTCATATGTCCCGATTGAACTAGAGGCATTGGTTCATTGAGACCTCCTTAGTAGTTCAATAACTGTACGATCGTTCTAAGTGTTGTAATCGGTACGTGCATGACTTAGAGAATCGAATTCCCTCATCATCACTTAGCCAGCTCTGCCAGAGACTTAAAGATTACAAACTATGAGAACACACAGGACATCCAAGACTATTCTCGCGATCGAATCCCCGACTACGATGCACAGACCTCCCACTAGATGTCGGACTGCACGAACACTGGCCCTTGGGGCGGTTCTCGATGGAACTCAGGGACAGGTCATGACACAGCGTGTCCTCTAGTGGAGTCACGGTGATGTCTAGGTCTTAAGAACTAATGGTGTACAACTATATCATAAAGATCTCTACTCGAGTATTGAGAACCACTTAGAGATTTCTAGGATGAGGGAGTTCAGTGAACTCGTCAACTTACAAGAACCCACTTATGCATGTCGATATCACAATACCGTTTACTGATGAGACGCAGTACACATACACCAAGTGCTAGTCTCTTAATGGGAAAGGCCATATCCTCATTGGTGGCGTAACCTTTCGACTAGGAACACGATTTAACAGTTATAATACTTAAGTAAATATCTCACGATCCTAAAAGAACAATTATAAGTAATTGTAATAACAGTAAGGACTATATCTATGTTTGTACAAGGGACAAAAATATAGAATGCCAAAGTGTTTTACCATTAATACGAAAAAGGATTACTTATTACAAGAATAAATGGAAAGATCACAACAACAAGTTCGCTTGTTGATCACCTACTCTAACAAATATTACTGTCAACCACAACAATATTGTTGTTTAAACCGGGGCGAAAAGATGTTAAAGAAAAAAAAATTTAAAAAAAATTAAAAAAGTCAACGCTAGAAACCGGCAGAATAATTAGGAAGAAAAAAAAATCTAAAAAGTCAACGCCGAAAACCAGCGGAAAAATCAGAAATAAAGAAAGGAAAAAAAAAAGTCAACGGCTGCGACGGACGAAATTGTCCATAAAATTGTGTTTTGGGTCAAAATTGAATAATTTGTGAAATTTGGGGTCAAATTGAGGTTGGATTAAATTAAAAGATGAAATTGAAGCATAGTAAAATGTGAAGTGCTACTTTAGTCTTTTATAAACGTCTCGACAATGTGTGGACCTTTTTGTAAAAGAGTTTTTTGTATGTACCCCTTTGTGAATAAGTATCTATTGATGGGCTTATTTGTAAAGTGCCCTTATTTAAAAGGATACATTACAAATAAGACCAATATAGGATACTTATTTATAAAAGGGGTTCTCACAAAAATATTTTTTACAAATAAGTACAATATTATCTAGAGGTGTGTAAAAGAATAAAATACCCCTTCACATTTTAATATGCTCTAAATATTGTAAATTCAATTTTTGTATCACAAATTGTTCAATTTTGTGAGAACCCCACACATTGTAAAATATTTTGACAAATATACTCCAAATATACTCTACTCGAGTATCTCTACTCCAAATATCACAAATTGTTCAATTTTGACAAAAAAACTCAATTTTGAGTACAACACCGGAAACCTGGCGGTCAACCGGTTGACCTACCGGGAAAAAAATTCAGAAAAAAAAAATTTCAAAAAAAAAAAAAGAAAAATCAACGCCGGAGACCGAGTGGTGGCGGGTCAAATTGGGATTAAAATTGGATAATTGGTGAAATTGAACTAAATTGCGGTGTAAATCATGAAATTGGAGTTGAATTGGGTTTCAAGGCATTGGGGAATTTTGATACATATAAAAAGGTTTTCTTTATTTGCAAATAAGTTTGAATGAACTGAAAATATTTAAAATACAAAAAAATTGAATGTTCTTTTTTTAATTAAATGTCCTTGCCACGAGCCTCTTTAAAATTAGGGTTTATTAGGGAAAACCCCCTTGTTCATATTTTCTAATGAGGTAGATCCAATTTTTTTTCCCCTTTTTGAGATACACCCAATTTTGCCAACTTGGCAAAATATATTATATAATTTCCCTTTAATACCCATGTTTTATTATTAAACGGCATTTATTTCCTTTAATACGTGATTTGAGATTTGCTGATACGTTGCCTAAAATCACGGAATAAATTTACGTGAGATCATTGGCCGTTATATCAAATCGTGTGCAATATTTTTTGAAGATTCTCTTCATCGTTCCAGCGGGTTTTATCGTCATTGAAGATTTCTGCACCGTCGTGGAAATAGGATCGATTTTTGAGCGTTTGTTGTTGGACGTTGTTAAGCGGGTATGAATGCGTTATTCGTTTTTATTTTTTGCTCAATATCCATGATTGTCGTGTACGGTGGTTAGAAATTTTTAAGAGTTGTGTTGATACTTGATTCTATTAAGTAGAACGTTTTTTAACAAAATTATTCCGTCATATATATCGTTTTTCTTGGCCGATGATGTTTGTTTGGAAGAGGATTGACAGAGTTAGAAGAGGATGGTTCACGCAGATCGGACCAGAGTTGTTTTATATGAGCTTCGTAGTTGGTTTATGCAATAATCGGAATAATTGTCCGCTTTGGTCGAGTTCATGTTTTTATCCCGATCGATAGTTGGTTTATTTGTTTATAACAGTCGATTTAAGTGTGCTGGGTAGTACATTAAAATATAGTTCGTAGTCTTTTTTAATTTAGCGTATGAATTTTGCATTTTAAGTTTATTTTTGATGATATTAATGTATTATCATTCAAATGTATTTGCAGTCTATTTAATTATTTTTTAGTATTCTGCATTTTTAATTTTGTTTCATGATTTTAGGTTTTTTCGATGGCGAATTTCGTACGGATTTTGTTGAGGTTTGGTGGGTTGATTGCTATAAATAGGTGTTTACGATGTAATGGCTCGGTAACTTCGGTTAAGTGTTAAACCGTTGTAATACAGTAGTATACTATTATGAATACCGTATGATACTACCATTATCATTTTATTATACTATTATGAGATTATTAATGTACTAGAGCTTTTTAACTCGACATATTGGTTTGATTGTGTTATGATGTGTTTTATGTATTTTATCAAAACCCTTGATTGAAATTATGAGATTATTAATGTACTATTTTATTGGTTATGTGGAATACTTTACGTTGGTGTTGTTCTCAATGTTCTTGTCATTTCAGTGGTATATTGTTTGTAACACAATTTCATATCAATATTATAACCGTAATATACTATCATAGCAGATTAATGTACTATATTGAAATTATTAATATACTATGTGGTTGAATAATACGGGATCCATAGTCTATTAACGAGATCCATAGTCGAATTAGATCAATAAGATAGTCTATTACATGATATAAGGAAAATTACCCTAATTGATTAGTATAACAAACATATTATTCAGTTTCCATATATATTATTATTTTTTCATATATATTATTATTTACCCTAATCGTTTTCATATAATAAGGAAAATTACCCTAATTGATTAGTATTTCAAACAAACATATTATTCAGTTTCCATATATATTATTATTTTTTCGAATAGTCAATTAATTAAACCCATAGTCGAATTAGATACATGGGATAGTCTATTAAAAGATATGAGACAGTCTATTAATTTTAAAAAGGTAAAGTAACGGGATTTGTGGGATTTGATTGAGGGTAATTATGTAATTACGAAAAGTTTGGGCTTTTATCAAAATGGCAAATTTAAATTTGGGTCTACCCCTATTATTTGAATGTTTAAGGGGGTTATATCTAATAGACCCTTAAAATTAACCCTATTAATAATATCTAATCAAAATATTTTGTACGGAACTGCAGATTGGAAAAGTACTTTTTAATTTCTTTCAGTAATAACTGAAAAAAGAAAAGGAAGAAAATATATATTTTTTTGGTTTTGAAGCTGTAAATAGTAATTTGAAGGTGTCGGTGGAGTGGAACGCAAGTTGGCGGGTCAGCTCCAATAGCCTTTCAATTCTATTATTTTTGTTTGTTCCAAATCCAGCCTGTTTCCGCTTAAACATCGAACACCTTTCCACATATCAAACTTCATCCCCACCGTCAACTACGAGTCGGTCAGATCTCACGATCATTAAATCATAATAATATGCTGTCCTTTCTACTACATCATTTAGTAATTTCACCCTAATTCGAGTTTTGTTTTAATCAATTTGTTAATGTCATTAAAGTTCAATAATTCAATTTTAGACTTCCAATTTGAGAATAATGAAATAAATTTCAACGTATATTTTGAAAATTAGATACAATATAGTATTTATCTATTTAATGAGATTTGGACTACCAATCTACCATTCACTATAAACATGATGTTGAAGAATATGTGTAGCACGAACACGAAAACAGCGATACGAAAATATTTGAAAATGGATACGGGACAACGGCATGTCACGAAAAAAGAAATACGGAAACTTGGGGGAATGCATAAATATTAAAAGTATAAGCGAATATTATAAATATGCTATATAAATATATACAAGTTTTTGTTTATACATAATTTTTTTTTTCTATATTTTCGTACAAATATATTCTAAATTGACTATCAATTTTCAGTTGATCACTAAATTATGAAAATAGTTAAGTAAACAATAAAAAAGTTTGAAAATTTGCTATTCAAGCAAAATTGTCCAAAATGTGTTCAGCTGGTGTCTTCGAGTTTCGGATACGAAATATTTCTGAAACACAAAAACGTTAAAAAATGAAGTTTTCGTGCTACACAGTAAATAACTCATTCGTTAAGTTAAATGTTATTTATTAATCCTTAATCAAAGAACTAAACAAAAAGGAAAAGTAAAAAAACATAAAAGAATTAAAGGAGAGAGAGTGACCGAGAGGAAGAAGTATTATTATTATTAATAATTAATAATAATAATAACAATAATAATCGTGAAAGAGAGAGCTGATCTAACACCAATCGTCGGTGACTGAAAAAACCCCCTTTGGTTGATTCTCATTACCAAAACAAAATAATACACAAAATTGATTTTCATTTCATTCATTCATCTTTCTTTCAGGAGGAAATTTAGGAGAGAGAAAGAGGAGAGAGAGAGAGAGAATATCTCAGAACAACGTCTCCACTGAGAGTAGTAAGTAAAGCAACTTTCTCTTTCTACATTCTGTCTATTCATTCATTTCACTGTGTGTGTGAATTGTTCTTTTGTTTGCGTGCTACAGAAGAATGGAGACGAGCAGCAGCAGAAGCTACCTGAAGATGGGCACAGCGATAACAATGGCGGTAATCGCAATCTGCGGCGTGTGTTTGGTGGACGCGGATTCGAAGGAGATAATCGTGAAGACGGTGAACGGGAAGAAGGTGTGCGACCAAGGGTGGGAGTGCAAGGGTTTCTCGGAGTACTGCTGCAACCAGACGATTTCAGATCTGTTCCAGACCTACAATTTCGAGAATCTGTTCCCGAACAGGAATTCTCCGGTGGCCCACGCCGTCGATTTCTGGACTTACAGGTCTTTCATCACCGCCGCCTCGATTTACGAGCCGCTTGGATTTGGTACCACCGGCGGCCCCGATATGCAGATGAAGGAAGTCGCCGCTTTCCTTGGCCACGTCGGCTGCAAAACCTCCTGTCAGTCTCTCTCTCTCTCTAGAACTTTCTCTCTCTCTCTCTCTTCATTTTTTTTTTAAATTGATAATAAGTCCGATGAGTTTTTATTTTATCCAATTGAGTTACCTAAATTAGTTGGATTAAATTGAGAGACAGCTTTTAATTTGAAGACGAGATTTCTTGAGTTATGAACACAGATTTGGGAAATTAGAATTGGTTTGATGAGATAAAAAGAAACTAATTATTCATGAATTCATCAAGTATGTATCCTGTTGCTAGTCCAGGAATTTATTACAGGGTGGGCTTAAATTTTCGGGGGTTCCAGCCGAAATATTTTTAGGACTTTTTTTGTAATAAAAAATTGGGGATTGTTGCATTAATTTGAATTTTGGGTAGGTTAATTAGTAAAAATTGGGGCTTTTCTTGCATTAATTTGGATTTTGGGTGGGCTAATTAATAAAACTTGTGTGGGCTAAATAGGTATATAGGTATAATATATGGTAAAAGGTATCAATTGAGGAGGGGCTTGAGTCCACCCTGGCCCAAGGGTGGACTCGCCCCTGTATATATCCATATCTTGGAAATTCTAAAGATAATTCCGGCGAGACGAACATTACTTTTAATGGTGATTGAATGTAACGTTGATTTTCTTATCACCAGGTGGATGAATTCGTGGGGATTATACTTTTTTTTAGTATGCAACACTTAGTATGTTTGTTTTTCATACCGAAGTTTGTGGTTTATCATTTGCTACGAATTTGCCTCGTAGCATATACTGACAAAAACTTTGCTACGGTAAATGGCCGTAGCAAATACTGTTTTGCTACGGTAAATCCTAGCATATACTACGACTCCAAGAGTGTCCCGTAGTAAAATGTACCTTTTGTTATGGTTTTTTACCATAGCAAAAAGTCATTTTTCTACTAGTGGAGTAAGAACTTGTTGTCTTGTACTGAATATCTTTGTTCGTATGCCGGCTTTATCAATAACATATATTTTGGAATACATGGCGTAACCTTTCACTTGAATGAATACCAAAATATGAAATTGCTAAGAGATCTATCTGCACACCCTTCAAAAAGCCGTTACGGATATGTGTTTTGTTATGAGTTTATAATAAAATGAACAATAATTTACATACGGATGATTGCAGGTGGTTACGGAGTGGCGACGGGTGGACCACTAGCATGGGGTCTATGTTTCAACAGAGAAATGAGTCCGAGCCAAAGTTATTGTGACGAGTCTTACAAATCTGATTATCCATGTTCTCCCGGTGCCGATTATTATGGCCGTGGTGCTATTCCAATTTTCTGGTACTCAATCCCTTCTTTCCGTTATTCTTAATTTTCGTTGCCTTATTATTCTACTCAATAATAACAATAATTATGTGCTGTGAAATTCATTGCAGGAACTATAATTACGGAAGATTAGCCGACACACTTAAACTAGATTTGTTGAACCATCCGGAATACGTCGAACAAAACGCGACAATAGCATTCCAAGCTGCGATTTGGTCATGGATGACGCCGCTGAAAAAGGGACAGCCTTCATCGCACGATGCCTTTGTCGGGAACTGGAAACCGACAAAGAACGATACATTGTCCAATAGGATACCTGGATTTGGGATCACGATGAACATTATGTACGGTGATTCCGTTTGCGGTCAGGGTAATATCGATGCGATGAACAACATCATATCTCATTACCAGTACTATATGGATTTATTGGGTCTTAATCGCGAGAAGGCCGGACCCCACGAAGCGCTCACTTGCGGCGAACAGATCGTTTTCAATCCTTCTACCAAATCGTCATCCTCTTGAAAATGAAAAGAACTGTGTAATAAGAGGAGCGCGGTCCTTTGTTGTGCTGTGCTATACTATATACCCTCTTTCTATAATTGTGTGATTATCATTTGAATTTGTTCTTTTGTTACGTGTGAATTGGTAATTGTTATTTATAGGTATTGAGAGTTGATGTGGTTTATGTTGTTAGTGTATTATGGAGTTGTAATATTTCATTCTTGAATCTACTTTATAAAGCCGAGGACACACTACATTTTATTAATTTGCTATTTATATTGTTTTGTTCATTTTGAGTTGTGTGTTTCTAGTTTATGGTTTCACTATTTGTGCTGTGGATCCAAGATGTATTTAGAGAGGATCGTTGGAAAATTATGTTTGAAATTCTCCGCTTTTCGTATATATAGTACACGCATGTAGGGTTGGATATGGGTCGGGTCGGGTCGGGTAATTATCGACCAAACACCTACCGGATCTGACCACCCGATTTTTGCTAAATATTGAAAACCATTACTCGCCCGACTATTACGGATCGAATGATGGTTGGCAACCGACTTTGTCGGATAAACAATGGGTCGTCGGTTGGAAGTATTATTGTCCATCTATTTATTCGTTTTTATTAACAATAGTATGTTTTTAAAAGTTTTTTCAAAAGACCATTTAAAATTTTGGGAAAATTTATATTGCAAAAATTTGAACTTTAAAATTAAGAGTATTTTTTTTTTTTATTAAACTTCTACAATAAATAAATATATAATGAAGAATATGATATAAAAATTAAATAGAAATAGTAAGAGGTTTATAAATTGGGGTCATTAGCAATAAGTCCCTCATATAGCTAATAAATGGTGATATGTCCACCCCTACAAATAAGATCATCAATGGATACTTATTCATAAAAAGATCCAGACAAAAAACTCATTTACCAATAAATTTACACATGGTCCAGATTTTTGTAAAGGACTAAAATAACCCCTCATACTTTAATACAGTGTTCTAAAAATCGGTCGAGGCGGTCGATTAATCGGTCGCCGAGGCGGAGGCGGTCCAAAACCTTTACGATTTTAGTGTAAAGGTTTGAAAAATCGGTTTTTTGCCTGTGAGGCGGTTTGAGGTGGTCCGAGGCGGTCAAACCTTTAAGGCGGGTCAAACTTCGGTGGCAAAAATCGGCAAAAAATCGGTCAAACATCGTTTTTTTTTTATTTTTTTTTTATAAATCAAAATAAAAGTTGGGATTTTAATAAAAAAAAATGAGTTTATGCTTTATTTTGTTTATGTTAATTATTATTGTTAAAGAACTAATGATGTATGCCAAGAATGTATGTAAATTCAAAAAAAATTGCCTTTTTATTTATATTTTATAAGGATATTTATGTATTATGATCTTATTATGATTAAACTTTTATTATGTTATTAGAATAGGGGTCATTAGCAATAAACCCCTCATATAGATAATAAATGGTGATATGTCCAACCCTTAAATCTTTCTTTGTGATAACCCCCTAGAATTTGTATTTCCAATTCTACCCTTATGTCAATTAACATAATTAGTCTCAATTATTCATTTTTTCACTCTTTCCATAACAATAATCTAATTCCTAAAAATCTACTTCCAAATTTCTAAAAATTTGCTACCAAATCAAAAAATAGGATTTTTTTTTATTTATTATTTTGTATTATTTTCGGATTTTATAGCCACTTTTTTATTATTTTTTTAATAAAAAAATATATTTTTTTAATTTTTTTTAAACAAAAATTTGATTTTTTTGTTCTCGACAGATTTACAACTCCGAATATGACTATAGTTGAATATGACTATTATGTGACTACGCTTTGTATAATAGTGTAATTAACATATTGTAGAAGCATAATTATTAATATAACAGTAAGAATATGACTACTATGTGAATGTGACTGTGCTTTGTAAAACATTATAATTAACAGACAGTAGAAATATGAATATGACTATTGTGTGACTACAGTTAGTATAACATACTGAACATGATAGTGGAAATATGACTATTATATGACTAGGAGTTTATAACATACTGAACATGATAGTGGAAATATGACTATTATATGACTAGCAACTGCGTAATGTGACTACAAGTAATCAGCACTTGAAAAAACTTGCAATATTAACAGCAAAATACATTGCAAAAAGAAAAAAAAATGACTACGAAAAAACAAAAATAACTAATGTGATCATTCAACAATTGCCATCGAACATGTTTTTTTGTTGCGGTATCCAACTCGGTTGCACCGACTTCACTTAATCTTCCGTTTGATCTTCTCTGTTAAATATGACTACACTGTTGAACATATGCAGCACTACAAAAAAAAAACAAATATAACTAAGTTTTTAAACATGACTACTCTGTCAAACGTGACTACTCTGTAAAATACATTGCACTACAACCGACTAATCTCGTAACTCAATGAATTTTCCAGATCTAAACATTCAGAATATGTAGAATAACACAAAAATTAATAAAATCAAGAATAATTGAAAATCAATGTATTCTTTCATAACAAACAAATAATAGATATGAAATTCAGATCCATAACATATTATAGTGCTAGTTCGACAATTAATTCGAGAAAAATAAAAAAATAAAATTTACCAATTAATATAGTATATATTGGTATTCAGCGTCGAGATATGGGAAATCTCCATGTAGAAATCCGACGGAGGCGGCGACAAGGTGGAGAAGGCGCCGCCGCTAATTGTACCAGGCGTCGATGTGGTGGTGTTCGACGAGTGGGGAGACGATCTCCAACATCGGCAGAGGAGGGCCTGGGCCCCTGCAACGAGTTTCGGCCGACAGCGTTTGAAGGATATTGTTGACTCCGGCGGTTTTACAGATCTGAAGAAGAAGGAAAAAAAAAATAGAACTGTGAACAGAGAGAGAACGGGAGAATGAAACAGAGAGAGAGAGGGAGAGCGAGAACTGAAGAAGAAGGAAAAAGAAAAAAAAAAAACTGTGAACAAAAGAACGAGAGATAGCGAGAACAGAGAACGGAGAGAAAGAGGAGAGAATGAAAGAGAGAGAAATAAAATTGTATTAGGTTAAAACCCTAACACATAGGGGCATTTTAGTCTTATCATGGTTGGTAAGGGTGTCTCACTAATTTAGATTGAGTTATGGGTTATGGGAAAAATCTTTAAAGTCAATTGGGTTTAGTTCAAAATATTTTCCAAATAAGGGGTGTATTGCATATTTCCCCATTAGAATATATACATGATCGAGATATAACTATGTTTAAATATTTTTTATCTATGTTTTGAGTATTTATAAATAATATCTACAAATATATTATATTAAATTTTAAAAACCGATTTATTTCCGATTTATCACCGATTAATCACCGCCGCACCGATTAATCGTGAGTCGGTGCCTGACCGACTCGGACCCGATTACCGATTTTTAGAATCTTGCTTTAATATGCTTCAATTTCATCCTTAACTTAATTTAACCTCAATTTGACTCCAAATTTTACAAATTATTCAATTTTGACTCAAAACTGTTTTTTTCAAAAAAAAAATTCTTCCACTGGCGTTGACTTTTTTTTTTTCTTTTTCCGCCACCGGTGACTTTTTCGATTTTTTTTTTCTGAACAATTTTTTTCTTCGTTTAAACAACAATATTGTTGTGATTGACAATAATATTAACTATATTACTGTTAAACATAGTAAATTAACTATACTACAGTTTAACACAGTAATAATGCTATATTAATCTCTAGCACAATAATATTAACACAACAAAACTCATTATTATTGTGTAATAGAGTAATATTACTATGTTGATCGTTCAACAAATGTAAACATAATAAAAAGCCAAAATAATTAATATTACTGTGAGTGACAGTAATATTACTATAACAACACTAATATTACCGTCAACCACAGTAATATTACAATAATAGACAACAATATTATTACGTTACTCCGTGAATAACTCAAACAAACAAAAAAATCCAAACAAAATAATAATATTGATGTGGTTGACAGCAATATTATTATAATAACAGTAATATTACCGTCAACCACAATAATATTATTGTGTTTACAGCAATACAGTAATATACAGTAATATTATTACGTTACTCCGTGAATAACTCAAACTAAACAAAAAATCCAAAAACATAATAATATTGATGTTGTTGACAGTAATATTATTGTGTTTACAGTTATTTTACTGTCAACGACAATAATATAATTACGTTGACTTGTCAACAAATCAAACAAAATAAAAATAAATAGCAAAAAATTAAAAATTATAATATTACGTTAATTTACTGTCAACGGCATAACAATTACATAAATGTATTGTCAACGGCAGTACAATTACGTTAATTAACTGTAATTGACAGTATAATTACGTTAATTTACTGTCAGTGACAGCACAATTACGGTCAACGTTTAGGGACGTAAAAAAGAAAAAAAACACTAAAATAAGTCAATGACGGAATCCGACGGCGAATAAAAAAACCAGCGAAAAAATCCATAAGGAAAAAAAAATCGAAAAGTCAACGCGCCCAACGCCGGAATCCGGCGGCAAAAAAAAGTCTTTTTTGAAAAAAAAAGAGTTTTTGAAAAAAAAAGTCAAAATTGGATTTTTTGTGGACAAAATTGATTAAATTGGGGTTACAATTAAGAATTGTGTATAAAGGGTTGGGGGTAATATTGTCATACATGAATGTTTCCTTTATTTATAATAAATATTAAATGGATGGGCTTATTGGTGAAAGAAATATAGCCCTTAAACCTAGAATAATAAAGATGCTTGGTTGGAGACTTATACACAAAAACCCCATCTTTCTTTGTGATAAACCCTAGAAACTGTATTCCCAATAATACCCTTGTGTCAATTAGCACAATTTGTCTCAATTATTCATTTTTTCACTCTTTCCATAACAACAATTTAATCCCCTAATAATCTGCTTCCAAATTCCTAAAAATATGCAACCAAATTAAAAAAAAAATAAAAAAATTGAGTTTTTTTTATAATTATTTCGTATTTATTTCGCTTTTTTTTCGTATTTATTTCGCATTATTTTTATTTATTATTTTTTTTATAATTTAATATTTTTTTAATAAAATTATTTTTTTTTAATTTTTTTAAACGAAAAATTGAATTTTTTTTCTCAACTTGTTTACTTTGCCGAATATGACTATATTGACTGTGGTCATATTTCTTCTTTATATTGCAGTTTTTTATATTTTCAATTTAAAAATTCTGATTATATAGTGTAGTACAGTCATGTTTACCAAATTATATAAACAAACGAAGTTTGCCTATTGTTTACGAAAAACATCCAATCAACATCCACACAAAAAATCAAAATTTGAATGTTGTTATTACAAGTCAACTTGAAACGAAAATATGGATGACTACAGTCATATTCAAACAGTAGTCATATTCGAATATAACTATAGTCATGTTACTACTGCTAGTTCAGATCTGGAGAAAACAAATATATTCGAATATGACTATAGTCATGTCGAATATGACTATAGTCATGTTACTGCTACTAGTTTAGATCTGAAGGAAAAAAAATCGAAAAATACACCAATAGAGAGAGATATATAACAAAAGAGAGGGAGGGAGTTGACGACAATGGCGGTGGCGGCGGTGAACGAAAGCGAGAGTAAGAGAGGCTGTGACGGTGGTGGTGGTGGATAGATCTGAAGAAGAAAAAAAAAACACATATCGAACTTAATTTGAAATGTGAAAGGATAAAATAAAGTTTCATTCTTCTGTATGATAAAACGAGAAGCTTAACTACATCTTCTTTGGTTGTACAATGGAGGCCCTATTCTTTGTGGAAAAAAACTCGTATTGGTGATTCGCGTAACATATGAGAAATTAATAAATCACTAATCGAGTGAATCAACAATAGTCATATTCGAACCAGACTATAGTCACTTTAATGCTGCTGCTTTAGATCTGGAGAGAAAAAAAAAAGAAAAAAGTCGAAAATAACGAAAGGGAGGGAGGGGGAGGCGACAACAACGACGGTGAATGAAAGAGAGAGTGGGGGAGGCGGCTACGAGGTTGGTGGTGGACAAATCTGGAAAAAAAACCGAGAAATCGAGAGAAATAACGAAAAGGAGAGAAAAAACCTTACCTGGAGACGAAGGACGCGGCGGCGGCAACGAGCGGCGATGGTGGTGGTGTAGAGATCTATGTGCAGACGATGGTGGTGTAAAGAGAGAGAGAGAAACCGAGATAGATAAAGAACGAGAGAGAAAGATATTTATGGGGAGATGAAGGAGGAAGCGACGACGGCAATGAGTGGCGGCGGCGGTGGATGAAGGTTGGAATTTCCGGATAGAGTTGAAGGAGGTGGAGAAGATGAAAGTGATAGATGTGGGCAAATAATTAGGGTTACAGTAATTGAGAGTATATTTGTCTTCTCACACTAGTAGAGGGGGGTCTCACTAATTAAAAATGAAATTTGGGTGTAGGAAAAATCTTTAAAAGTCATTTGGGTTTAGTTCAAAATATTTTCTATTTGTGGGTGTATTGCATATTTTCCCTTTTAAATTTGTGTTCCCGAGTTTTGTCTTCTTTTATACATTATTTCGATATTAAGAAAAGAAGAATTACAATTAAATATTTATAATAAATTTCTATTATTAAAAATATCGGTTGGCCAATATTACCTGACCAACCGACTTTTGATTAAACTCAAAACCGCCGACCGGCCCATTTATATATGGGTCGGTTAAAATTACTGACCTGACAACAAAATTATCGGTCAAAACTGGGTCGATTGGCCGATAAAACCGACTAATGCCCAATCCTACATGCATGAATGAAAATATCGAAAAATGAATAAATTCTACAATTGTCCCTGATGAGATGTGACAAGGATGTAGTTTCAATAGCCTTCAATAAATCATACAACTAAAATTTGATGCTCATACAACCCCATTTTGAAAACTTTACTGCAGCAGCATATTCCTCACTGCAGTAATTTTAACTAAGATAATTCAAGTATAAACTATTTCTCAACACACTCCAACTGCCCAAAATATCTACCAGATATCGTCATGAGAATATTCAGAGCAACAACTTCATCATCCACGTGTGTTTTGCCAGCTCGCAAACTAGCGCACTTTCGGAGTAGAGAGCGTAGGGCCGCACTAGTATCTGCATCGAGGGGACAATCTACTGCGACGCAAAGAGCAAACAGCCATAAACCGTCGTCGTGTGATAACGTGCTCACGTTTTCTATTGCCCTTATTCGTCTTTTCAGCATTGATGTTCGAGCAGCAGATTCCATTTTCAGAATTGTCGAGAGGGTAGGGAGGTCATTTGTCAAACTCGAATTTTCAGGTGAGTGTTGAGTGACTTTAGCATCACTTGTTTCGGAAGATGCTAAGCTAACGATTTTCTCAAAGCTGTTATTGCTTTCGATCATTTGATTCAAAATATCTCCGCCTTCAATAGACTCTGGTTTGATTGAAGAGGTTCCACCGGAACCCTCGAGATCGAGCCTCGCAAAATCCTGAAAGAAAATATATCAAGTAGAACCTCGATACATTAATAACCTCGCTCAAAATATATATATATATATATATATATATATATATATATATATATATATATATATATATTAAATACAGTTTAATTCAGTGTTACGCCATTAAAAAATGTAAAATACTATAATAATTTACGAATATTAACCACTATCAAAAAGTTGTTTCTATATTACGTTTAATTATATAAATTAGATAACTGGTGACTCATTCAAAAAGATCTCCTAACAAGACTTTTTATCGACTGATTGAAAAAGTGGATAAGAAGTATAGAAAAAAAATTGACAAAAAGAGGAGAAAAGAAAACGAGAGGCAAAAGAAAGGAGAAACAGAACAAGGAAAAGGGAAAGGAAGTTCTTACTTCTTTTATCGACTGATCGAAAAAGAAAAATGTTCACATATGCAGAAAGCCTTCCTGAATGCGAAATCGATAAGTTTGTAGATACAAAATTTTACACAATGAAAATACTTCACTACTTATGAGAGAAGATTGTGAATAAATAAAACTGTCATCTGCACTATTTATTTATAGTTTGCTGTTTAAATCGTAACTTTTATTTCTGACATCTAACATATTTTAATTAAATTTATAATTCAATAAGCAAATGGAAGAATATTTGAAGGAAAAATAAACCGTAATAAGTAATAATTAATTATTTTTTTGTTGAAGAAGCAGAAAAATGATAAATATCATCACTATCCATAAATGAAAACATTTCTAGCCAGGTGGCAAAGCAAACTGTAAGAACTTTTCATGTCCTATTCAAAAGACGGAATCTCGGGCAAAATATTCCAAAAGCAGCGAGTTTGAGAGGGTTAAAGTGTAAAAAGCCATATATTTCAGATGACCAAGTGTAAAAAAAGAAGAAACTAATTAGCCGAAATTGTAAAAAAAATCCATTTAAAGATAATAGGTAGTTATGGTTACCATTACTCGAAAGTCGAAACGGCTGTCAGGAAGACATGTGAATAAAACACAACTATCATCTGATCATAATATACTCATCACAGGATCATCCACATACATCTTATACCGAAAATCCGAAAACCCAAAACCGAAACCGAAACCTGAAACCGAAACCGAAAACCAAAACCCGAAAACCCGAACCCGAAAACCGAAACCGATCAAACTTCATTAAAGGGTGAGTTGTGGTTTTTGGGTTTAAATGCTGTAAATCTCAATACAGTATGTTTGTATTTCAAACTCGACCACTAAATAATACTAAAAACTCTAGAAAAAAATGCATATAGAGCTATCATTTTGTGCAAATGGATACCTGTCAAAATATATTAAAGCAAAATACAAAAAAGAGGGAAATGAACAAATTATACTTACAAGTCTCAGCTCAGAAAAATCGGCAAGAAAGCAGTCCTCCCACTCTTTGAGTGGCAATAAACTCTGTGGGCACTGCATAATACCAGGAATTTGAGGCATATATGTACTCTGTTCTTTTCTTTTGTTTATCTTGGCAACTGTTACCTTGGGAATTCTAGCAGTCTCCCACCTGCAAAAAACCGATAACGCACGTTATGCATTATTATATATCCATGATATTTATGTTTGCAGTTAGAATCCAGTTAGTTGATTAAGAACCCCTATAAATTAAAGGAAGTGTATACCATGATACATTCTAAGACGAAATATCCGAGACTACCTACAAAGATATCAGTGAAACCCTAAGGACCTGAAATCAAAATTTTCATCAAGCAAGATTCAATACTTCCCGACTCATTAATTCAAGGAATGAAATCCAATTAAGTTAATATAATATTTCTGGCAATCTCGTATGCATCATTAAAGAGACAGCCTCTACGCTCTACCACTTCGACTAATTCCCTACATGAAAAGGCACTGTGTTCATGACCGACTTAGTGATTTATACAGCAGATCTAGTCAAACATCTTTCTTCAAGTTAGTGGTTTCGTTTTTTCAAATGTAATAAAAAGAAAATAATACCTTACACGTCTGAGATATTCAAGTCCATCTTGTGGAGGTCCAGAGTCGAAATCGGGTTCCCCTGTAACCATAAATACAGGCCTCTGAATACTGCCGTAATCATCATCACTATCATCATCTTCTTGGCTGCACTCTTCTTCCTCCACAATTGAGGAAGAATCCGACGCATCCAAATTTTTAAAGTGATCTTCCACAACTTGTGGGAAGTCCTCAACTGAAAAAAGGTGCTCGAAATTACTTTAATCCCTCTCGAATTACGAAAAAAAAAAAAAAAAACTAAAACAAACAAATGCACATAAAAATAGTTGATCATACATTCAGGAAAACCGAAATAATTCCATCACTGAAGCAATAACTATCCAATAATAGTCTAACCAACTAAATCTGCTAAAAATTAGGTTCGATACAAAGCAATGCAATAGCTATTCAATAATTGACATCCAAGATCTGCTCTCTAACTTGGAGTTAAACACATCGAAAATAATTATGTATGATTTGAGGCACTACGAGAATCCTAAGATCTGTAGTAACAAAAATCCAAGGATATTTTAGGTATTTCACAAACAAGGTTCTCACAATTCCTATAGGCCATTCATTCTTCAGTGCACAAAAATATTCAGATGTATTCCTTTTCCCGTATCAGCAATGACACCTGTGCACAGACAAAAAATAATCCATCAAATCGACACAATTGGGGTAAGACGTCTAAAGAGGCAAAAACAATACGATATCAAGTCTCCTTCCCTAAAAAGTCGATGAATCTCTATAATATGAATAAGCTGTTCTCTTATTCCTTGTGTTAGCCAGGAAGGGTGATACTGAAAGTCGTCAACTTAGATATGATTGGTTTCGTGATGTCAGATCTATTCAATCAGTATACACAAAAAAACCATAACACAAAGGTATATACACGTAAGTATAAAAAAAAAAAAAAAGCATTCTTGATCATCAAACAGCAATTAAAAAATCAAGGATTTGTTAAAATCTTCCGCCACACAGTCCCAATTAAGTATGCTAAACATCTTTCCGACAACATTTGCACAGCAAAAACAAACATTCGTTTTGAAAAGGAAAAAAAAATAACAGAACACTTGACTTGGATTAACGAAAGGACAATAATACACATAGATAACAAGAAAACGAATACGCAAAATGAAAATCCACGAAAGAAACGAAATTCAAATTTTCTTTGAATGAAGACATTACAGAATATAGATGAAGAAGGAATCTTGATCATAACAACATTCTAAAGACAGCAAACAATAAAACAAAGTGCAGAAAACTAAAGTAGATAGCAAGAAAATCTTGATCATAACAACATTCTAATAACAACATTCTAAAAAATACACATAGATAGCAAGAAAACGGATACGCAAAAAGAAAATCAACGAAAGAAACGAAATTCGAATTTTCGTTGAATGCAGACATTACAGAATATAGATGAAGAAGGAATCTTGATCATAACAACATTCTAAAGACAGCAAACAATAAAACAAGGTGCAGAAAACTAAAATAGAAAAAGCATAACAATACCATGTTTCGCAGATTTCCGGAACTTGAGCCTAGGATCAAAGTCGACATCCGGGACACTTTTATTGAAGTCGACAAGTTCATCGTACTCCTTCGCGACCAACGGACCGAGCCCACAGTAAACTTCAACCCACCTCTTCTTTTGCTCATCTATTTCCTCAAACCTCAGAGACTCCATCATCTCTCTCGAATACTGATACCCCTTCTTTTCCTTCTTTTCAATGGTGGAGTAACTGTTCAAAATTTCATTGTTGTTTCTCCTACCCCTTCCTCCCCTTCGTCTAGGCTTCTTCTCTTTGGTTTCTTGCAACTTCCTATTTACAAGGGGAGAAGGCTCGGCAACAATCTTCTCAGTGGGGCATTTCTCCGAAAACTTGACCTGCACTTGTTCTTGTTTCGCTGTAGATATTTGTTCTTCAATCTGAAGCTGGAGTTGTTCTTGCTTCTCGGTAGATGTTTGTTCTTGAATTTGTGGGATAACAATCATCTCTGAGACGGCGTCGTATGAATCAGATTCTTGGTAGGTGTGTTCTTGCCCAGGAGCAAAGGCGCGGAGATTGCCGTTGTTTTCAGATTGTGGTTTGCCGTCGAATGGCGGTTCAACAGTTGTCTCGACAAGGCTCCGTTGGAGTTCGGCGGCGCCACCATCACTAGATTCTAGTGAGTTTGCCATCAGAGCGAGAGAGAGAGAGAGAGGGCAATGTCTATTCTCGAATACTAACAGGTCGAATAAATAAGGGTAAATTACAAACACCCCCTGAGGTATGGTCAAATTACAAAAACACCCCTCTTGTTTGGATAATTACAACCACCCCTTCAACTCCTCAAATTTTGTGGAATCTTCGAGATTATATGGAATATTATCACTTTTTTACCCGTTTTATGCCATTCAATCTCTACATTATGAAGCAAGATGATCATAATATGTGATTTTTAGCTTGTATATATCAATTTGTGGTGCATCGGAAATTGTATTTTTACTCAAAACGAGTACAAACTAGAGCACATTCCAAGGAATCTAGATGATAATGTTGAATTTGGCACCATAAGGGTGGAGGTGTAAGAAAAAATCATAGTTGAGGGGGTAGATGTAATTATCCATACAAGAGGGGGGGTTTTGTAATTTGACCATACCTCAGGGGGTGTTTGTAATTTACCCAATAAATAAATAATAGTGGTAATATGTATTAAAAAAAGGGTTTATTAGGGAAAACCCCCTTGTTCATATTTTCTAATGAGGTAGATCCAATTTTTTTTCCCCTTTTTGAGATACACCCAATTTTGCCAACTTGGCAAAATATATTATATAATTTCCCTTTAATACCCCTGTTTTATTATTAAACAACATTTATTTCCTTTAATACGTGATTTGAGATTTGCTGATACGTTGCCTAAAATCACGGAATAAATTTACGTGAGATCATTGGCCGTTATATCAAATCGTGTACAATATTTTTTGAAGATTCTCTTCATCGTTCCAGCGGGTTTTATCGTCATTGAAGATTTCTGCACCGTCGTGGAAATATGATCGATTTTTGAGCGTTTGTTGTTGGACGTTGTTAAGCGGGTATGAATGCGTTATTCGTTTTTATTTTTTGCTCAATGTCCATGATTGTCTTGTACGGTGGTTAGAAATTTTTAAGAGTTGTGTTGATACTTGATTCTATTAAGTAGAACGTTTTTTAACAAAATTATTCCGTCATATATATATCGTTTTTTTTTTGCCGATGATGTTTGTTTGGAAGAGGATTGACAGAGTTAGAAGAGGATGGTTCACGCAGATCGGACCAGAGTTGTTTTATATGAGCTTCGTAGTTGGTTTATGCAATAATCGGAATAATTGTCCGCTTTGGTCGAGTTCATGTTTTTATCTCGATCGATAGTTGGTTTATTTGTTTATAACAGCCGATTTAAGTGTGCTGGGTAGTACATTAAAATATAGTTCGTAGTCTTTTTTAATTTAGCGTATGAATTTTGCATTTTAAGTTTATTTTTGATGATATTAATGTATTATCATTCAAATGTATTTGCAGTCTATTTAATTATTTTTTAGTATTCTGCATTTTTTAATTTTGTTTCATGATTTTCGGTTTTTTCGATGGCGAATTTCGTACGGATTTTGTTGAGGTTTGGTGGGTTGGTTGCTATAAAGAGGTGTTTACGATGTAATGGCTCGGTAACTTCGGTTAAGTGTTAAACCGTTGTAATACAGTAATATATGAATACCGTATGATACTACCATTATCATTTTATTATACTATTATGAGATTATTAATGTACTAGAGTTTTTTAACTCGACATATTGGTTTGATTGTGTTATGATGTGTTTTATGTATTTTATCAAAACCCTAGATTGAAATTATGAGATTATTAATGTACTATTTTATTGGTTATGTGGAATACTTTACGTTGGTGTTGTTCTCAATGTTCTTGTCATTTCAGTGGTATATTGTTTGTAACACAATTTCATATCAATACTATAATCGTAATATACTATCACAGCAGATTAATGTACTATATTGAAATTATTAATATACTATGTGGTTGAATAATACGGGATTCATACTCTATTAACGAGATCCATAGTCGAATTAGATCAATAAGATAGTCTATTACATGATATAAGGAAAATTACCTTAATTGATTAGTATAACAAACATATTATTCAGTTTCCATATATATTATTATTTTTTCATATATATTATTATTACCCTAATCGTTTTCATATAATAAGGAAAATTACCCTAATTGATTAGTATTTTAAACAAACATATTATTCAGTTTCCATATATATTATTATTTTTCCAATAGTCAATTAATTAAACCCATAGTCGAATTAGATACATGGGATAGTCTATTAAAAGATATGAGATAGTCTATTAATTTTAAAAAGGTAAAGTAACGGGATTTGTGGGATTTGATTGAGGGTAATTATGTAATTACGAAAAGATTGGGCTTTTATCAAAATGACAAATTTAAATTTGGGTCTACCCCTATTATTTGAATGTTTAAGGGGGTTATATCTAATAGACCCTTAAAAAAAAGGGGTAAATAGCAGTTAACCCCCTCTAGTTCCCTTAGTGTGCACATCACCCCTCTTTAGTATCAATTTAGTGACTTAACCCCCATGTGGTTGTCATTTGGTGCGGTTGTCTAATAAATTAACGGAAAATGTTAAATGTGGAGTACCATCTTATGTTTCTGTTATTTGCAGGTCAAAATCATGACAAAAACCCTTACATTTTTGTTTATAAATAAATGTAAATACAGTATTATTTAATTACAGGGCAAATGACAAAGATGACATGATAAGGGATTTAAATGCACATTGTTCCACAGTCCACGAAAGAAAAACAGTCTTTCAAATAAACTCATTTTCATGTCTTTAGTCTAAAATACCCTCCATAATGTAATTTTTATCAATTTCATCAATTATACTCTAATTTCCTTAATATTACACATTGACCCCGGATTTAAATAAATATATCACATTAACCCACATTTTAATAAATTTTTGAAAAAATAACTTTTTTTTAGAAAATAATTTTTTTTTCTGATTTTCTTTTGCAGGCGGTTCTCCTTCGTTGACTTTTTTATTTTATTTTTTTCCTGAATTTTTTTTTCTGCCCGGTTACCAGCGTTGATTTTATTTTTTTTGAATTTTTTTTCTTAGAAAAAAATATTTTAATTAATATTACTGTCTTGGCTGCTAAATTACTCTCTTAGACAACAATATTACTATTTGGGATAGTATATTATGAATATTATTTTCCCGAACAATAATATTACTAATATTACTGTCCCAACAATAATATTACTGCATGAGACAATAATATTACGGTCCGAGACAGTAATATTATGGTCGAAGACAGCAAAATTGTAGGCCAAGACGATAAAATTAATTAATACAGTAAAATTACTGTCTCATAGAGTAATATTATTGTCTCAGACAGTTAAGTTACTGTTGGAGACAATAATTTAGCATCCCAAACAGTAATAATAATTAAAATAAATTTTTTTAAGAAAAAAAAAATCAAAAATAAATAAATCAATTAACAGTTAAAGTACTGTTTCCGACAGTTAAATTACTGTTGAAGACACTAATATATCAGACAATAATACTAATTAAAAAAATTTTGAAGGAAAAAAAGAATCCAATTAATTTTGTTTTAAGGAAAAAATTAATAGGACATAAGTAGGGAATGACATTAATACCATAAATTAAAATCAATGCTACACTAACATAAAAAAAAAATAAAAAAATTATTTGTTTAAGGCCACACACAAGCCCTCACACCTCTCACATTCTTCTTCACAAACACTCTTCTTCCTCTTCTTCTTCTTCTTCTACACAAACACTTCCAAAAATTCTCAAAATCCAAAGAAATCAAAACTTCACAAAACGTACGAAATGGATAAACAAAACAACAAAATGGTAGTTTACATGGAAACAAAACCTATTAAACTATGTATCCATATCCTTTTTGAGCTTGAAAATCAATTTTCATGTTCTTTTTTAAAAAACCCTTGCCGCTTTTCGACACATAGAGGTCAATTCTTTGTATTTTTTCCACATGTAGGTGTTGAAAATTTCACAAAAATCTACATTTTAGTGTCAAAAGTAAAAAAAAAAATCAATGCACAAATAAAAAAAATGGAAAAATAAATTGTTGGTGTAATTATTACAATCTGCGTAAGACAACGAATACTTGTTTGTCGAAAAGAAGAATTGTGAAAACACAAAGAACGATCGAGCCTTGCCAAAGCAATTCCCGTAAGACAATATTTATGGGTTGTCGATGGTGTACAGTCTCTTCCGCTAGTCTGCCAAGGTACAACGATCGGATGTCTGGATCTTACACGAGAACCAAATCCACAACGAACTTGAACAACGGAATTACCGATAAGTGGGGGTGATTTCCGTAATTTAGCCTAAGTTCATGAGGATTTTCGTAATTTATCCTATTAACAACGATTATCGTTATTTTCACGTCTTAACGTTTGCTTATACCCTTATATTATTTTAAATAATTTTAATGTCAGTTTGATAATATAATCTATATAATATATAAAAGTTGAATTTCACACCTAATTGATTGACATTTGTCAATTTCAATTGGTGACATGTATTCAATTTCATCCCACGTGGCAAATTGATTGGTGAAAATAAATCATCAAAAAACATGTCACCATTTTCCAAATTAAAAAGATATTTAATTATTTTATTATATATTTATATCATACCATTTATAAAATGCACTAAATATATCAACTTTCTTGGAAACTCTAAATAGTTTCTATGTTTTAATTTAATTTTAATAGTAATTAATTTAATTTAAATTTATTTTAATTCTATTTAAAAGCTTCACTTATTATAATTGTATGATTGACGGTGAAACGAAAATTTTGTATTTTAATTCATAAACTTGGATTTATATAAAAAAAATATTGCAGAATAAATCATTTGATATTATACATTTTACATGAACATGACCAGAGAATATGTTTATCTTTTTTACTAATTTAATATTATATTCGTAATTACCAAAATCTCCCTGATGTTTGTTTTCGTCTTACATCGACCCCCTTACGGTATGATTTTCACGGATTTTTTTTATTACGTGGAATATTCCCCGAAAAATGCAGATTCTACCATGCACACGAAATTTGTTTATGGTACTTTTTAAAGACAAAAAT